AAGTGGTAGAATGCAAAGGCCTTGATGGAGTTGTGATTCTTAAGATTCATGGCCAGAACAGACCATATAGACTGCAAGATGTGCGCCATGCATATCACGTGTGTCTGGTATCATTGATGGGGCGCGCATGTTCCGATGCATCAGCAGCAGCGCTGTCTTATGTTCACGATTGGCTAGAGCAGCAGAGTCCAGGCAGAGTTGAAACATTTGGTTATGTCTTAAATGCACAGGATGAACAGGTCTTGTCGAAGGCAACCAGGAGATGGCCAAAGGTTTCTCGTGCTTTAGAATTGTTGGTCCGCCAATCGTTGCAGTTAGACCATGTCTGCACTGTTCGCATTGGAAGAGGTGTTCATTTTCTCCCTAAGATGTTAGGCCCGCAGATTAATATCATCTTTAACTGGAACACCTTAAGCCCAGACAGTATGATAGTCCACCAATCCGATAGTGTAAAATTGAATGTATCAAAACTTTTTGGGGAACAGGCGTTGCACCACGCAACCATGCAGTGCATCAAGCTCCAAGCAGATGCAGGGCTGATTATTGACGAAGAAACTGTTCCCCCGGTCTTCACGCCAGAAGAGGACCAGTCAAGTGAAGTCCCGAATGACAGGCTGAGCACCATTCCCGAGGAATCGATCTCGTCCGAGGCGCAAGCCCTGTTTGTTGAGCATTTCTCTCAGGCACCGCCCGAAGAAACCGCAGACTTGAGAGAGCTGTGCGAGTTCCTCGTGCGTGACATGCAATGCCAGACAGACATTGATCTTCCCCAGGAGGAGTTCCTAAACCGACAAGAATTTGTATTTGAAGAGTTTGATCAGCATGCAGATTGGAATGAACATTCATTGACCTACGTGGAACAACATTCGCACTTTGACGCATGTGAACAAACAGAAGATAAGGTGCCGTTTGTAGAAATGTATGTAAGTCATGAGATTTCAAACTGGTTTGCAGAAGCTGAAAATGAAAGTACGAAAGATTCTTTTCAAGTACAGATTTTTGCATCGGAAGAAATTAAAAGAGCTGTCATTCGAAGGGAAACAGACATTGTAACTCCTGAAGTGATGACTCAATATAAGGACATGATTGATGCCGCCACAGTGGCTGAATATCGCACTTGGGAAAAGTATACATGTTTTAAGAGAATTCCCAAATCGGAGGCCAAGGTCTTGATCGATGCGCGTTTTGTGGCCAAGTGGAAGTTCGTGGATGGAGTCCGTGGCATCAGAATGCGGATGGCTTTGAGAGGCTTTCGCGAACCACACGGACCTGAAGAGCAGAACTACTCAGGGACTGCGCATCGTGCATCTCAGAAGGCCCTTGTGAGCCTTGCCGCGTGCAACAAGCACTGGCGGTTTCTTTCGGCGGATGTGTCAAAAGCATTCTTGCAGGGTGCTAGCTTCAGTGAGATTCACCAGCTTACAGGTGAACCAGAGAAGCATCTGTCTTTCACGGTGCCGGCAGGGACAGCTAGGCACTTGAGACAGATCCCAGGCTATGAAGACTTCAACGAGCGCACGGAGTGTTTGATGTGCCTCAAGCCTGGAACTGGTTGTAGGGACGCACCTAAGGCTTTCTCACTAAGATTAGCCCAGATAACCCAAGGTATTTGTGGTTTGACGAGGTTTGAAACCCTGCTCGTATGACCCACAACTCGAAGTATTAATGAGGAATGGCGAAGTGGTAATGGTAGTGTCTAAACATGTAGATGATCTTAAGATTGCTGGTGAGCCAGTTGAAGTTGAAAAGTTCATGAAAGAGATTGAAAAGCATTTCGGAAAACTCACAGTCAACGAAAACAAGTTCATGAATTGTGGCATTAATCATGAACGTGATAGCTCCGGAACTATTTCAATGGACCAAAATATTCGAATATATTTCAGCTTTTATTCCGATTAATCCTAAGCACTACCAACACCTGAAGCCGACCGACCAATGCCCACCAACACTACAGGCGCTGTACTGGAGCCTTCTAGGCGCTGTAGCCTACACGAGTCTTACGCAAGCTTGGGTGGCCGTTTACATTGTAGCACTCCAACGTGTGACACATGCTCCACAGGTGATTCATGTGAAACGGCTTAACAGCTTGACCCGTGAATTGAAGAGAAGGCCACAGAAACTTGTCTATCCAACCATGAAAGCGACAGGAGATTTGTGGCTGTTCTCGGATGCATCCTTCACGAAAGAAGGTGATGCGACCAAGGGTTACAGCATGAAGGGTTCTCTCGTGCTTCGTGAAGGGATTCTCCACGATGGTTCGAAGCGCTTCCACCTGATAGATGCAACCACTCAGTCACAGAGACTGGTGGTGCGCTCTACGTTTAGTGCCGAATTGTTGGCTCTCACTGGAGCCACAGACCATGCATTCTTGTATCTGGTCACTTTTGAAGAACTCATCCATGGACCTGTGAAACCGGCGCAGCTCTTGAAGATGAGGGAAGAAGGTGGCTTTAAAACTAAACTTGTAACCATGATCGATGCCAAAAGTGTATATCACTCAATCAAAAATTCCAGTGGTAAATATCCAGCAGAAAAATCTCTCCTTGGTCACATCCATTGGATTAAAGAACTTAAGAGTACAGGCATCATTTCGACACTTCTTTGGGTGGACACTCGCGACATGCGAGCTGATGGGATGACGAAGGGATCTTGTGACCGCAGAGCCCTGCTTGAGGCCATGTCAGGCAGGTGTTCGCTTGCTCATCCCTTCGAGTCCTTTTGATCCTCGGCGAGCAACGCCGTATGCCTTCGTCCAATGCCTTGTTCGTAGGACATCTCTCTCCAATGTGAGAGTGCTCGCTGAGTTGATCTCAGCTCACGTACGAGTGGAGGTCTGGATTCGCCTTTGACTACAGTTCCACCAACTCAACAGAAGCCACCCGACTAGAAGGGTACATGATCTACACATGACATGTATATCCACTGGTGGTTCAAGGGCGGATCCGGATCAACACAAGTACTAACACAAGCCAATTCATAGCGACAGAAACAGGAGTTCTTACTTTCAGCTTTCCGGTACGTCGCGTACACGTCGTTCTAGACGGTTTTTCTAGTTGTGTGTGAAACCCTTGGACTCATAGGGAATCAGTCTATTTTTAGCAGGGGGCAGTAGCCCTCTCGTGAGTCTACTGCCAACGAAGCTGCTCATGGGTTGGGAGGATATCGGAGCTGATCACTCCGACGTACCTGCGTTAGTGGTGTTCTCAAGCTATTGCTCCACTCTCCATTCAAGGGCTAGTGCATTCTGCAGATGTGCACGTCACCTTGTCGCTCGTCGAGATCATTGCTGACTTGAACCTTTTGAACTTCAGGACTTGTTTTACCCAGGCATTTTTTTACTTAGGCTTCTTCAGGGCTTGGGGCGCTCAGTTCGGTACGCATTGTTTTGAGTGTGATTGGCCTTTGTGCTAGCCCAGCGGGAGCCCGAAGAGTGCCCCCCGCCCCAGAGTAGTTCGCAGCGAGCGTAGGAGGCTTATGCCAAACGTCAATTATACAGAAAAAAGAGTAGGCAGCCCTAGGGCAAGCCGTGAGTCGCCCATAGCGGGCTAGAGCAGCCAGCCAGTTTGGCACGGCATGAGTAGACCGCAGCGGTCGCAGACTTCTCAAGACCCATTGGGGTCTGTCGCAGCCGTAAGTGCACGCACAGCGTGTGTACAATTTAAGGCAGGCCAGGTCTAGTTAGGTACAATTTGATGAGGTTTCGCTTCATTGGTTTCCGGCCCCTCCATTTCATCCTCTTTTCCCCTCACGCACACTTTCTGTCCTTTTTCGTTTCATGTCTTCTCCGCCTTCGCGTCCTGTCATCGCACTCCTTTCTTTCTTTTGTGCGCGCAACGGTCCGGCCCTTAATATGCATGCGCACATCTACCTTTGACCCAGGATTTCAGGTTGCCCAGGTCTTCATATGACGTATGGTTCACTGGTTGTCCCTGTGCGCTTGGTTTCCCCTTCCTTGCGACCACACAACAAATCTGTCTTGCGTTGTCTCGTTCTCGTGTCTTCATCCTTTTGTCCTCTATGCGTGTGCACATGCACATTTGCTTCTCCCTTAATTTTTGTGCTCCCCCACGTGTGTGTGTGTGTGCCCCTTGAAATCACAGGGATTATATAGGATTGCGAAGCTGATTTTTCTTTCAGCAGGGGGGTGCAGAGCGCAGTGGAAACTGCACCCAACGAAGCTATCCACTTGTGCTGGAAGCAGAGCCTGATAAGCTCTGTGTACCTGCTTGAATTTTAAGTTTCTGAAGGTCTAATGAGTTCTGCAGTCATGCACGATACGCCGTCATTTGTCGGTTCGACCTCGCCTTGAGCTTTTGGCCCCATCTCCTTTTCAAGACCTCTAGGCTCCATAGGGTTTTCCTGGAATTTTCAGGATTTGGTTCCTTAGGCTGGCGTGTGGCACCGTTGTCAAGTCAGTACGCATAATCATAAGTGTGTGTGCGTGTCAACGCCTACTTCTAAGGCTGTCACACATTGCTCACTGCCCAACGAAGACAGTGATAGAACGGTCGTGAAGCAATGCGGGACGCCGCATTGTGTACTTGCACCAATTGGTTGTACAGGGTTAATGCGTTTTTGTTAAACAGTTCTATTCTCCGACCCAGCACTCCTTCTGTTCTGCAAGTCGAGGTCTACTGCACCGACATTGTAATCGCTAGAATGGGCTACCTTCACGGACTCAGTTCTTGCGAGCATCAATGTAAGTGTGTGAAACCTTTCGAATCATAGGGAATCAGTTGGTTTCTAGCCGGGGGCAGTAGCTCATGAGTTTACTGCCAACGAAGCTGCTCATGAATTGGGGGGGTATCGGGGCTGATCACTCCGACGTGCCTGCATTAGTGGTGTTCTCAAGCTATTACCCCACTCTTCCATTCAAGGGCTAGTGCGTTCTGCAAATGTGCACGGTCGTCGTCACCTTGACTTCCATATTTGTGTTACTGTAGACTTTCTTGTTCGTCAGGCAATTCTCATCGCAATGGGACACTTGTCCATGGTGCAAGGAGCGAAGAAAGCAGTTTCTGCAGATCCTGGCGGCTGCTGCCTTCCTTCACCGCAGCAGCAAAGTCCTGGATGGATTTGGGCCTGTGAGCCAGGACTCCACGATTGCAGAAATACTGCACCCGTCATGGCCCATCATGTATAGTAGCAGATTTGCGTGAAAGGGGCGCCTGGGTTTCCAGCGAAGTATTCCGTGTTTCTTAGCCCAGCTGCCTTTTTAGGCAATTTATGTGCCTTTCTCTGAAGTTCTTGAAGTTGGAAGCTGGAACTTGGCTTTGACAGGTGTCCCTAGCTCGCTTCACCACTCTTGTCAAAGAGAACCGTGGAACTGGCCCCAATGCCACTCGTTTGCATCAATGGCCAATCGGGCGGACTCCCAACTGAAAAACCCTTTTGGAACGGGCCTCAAGAGTGTTTTTTCTATTGTTTTCTCCTCCCTCCCTTCTCGGGAGGAGCTTCTGCACGCTCCAAAAATTAAATCATTCCGTCAAACCTCAGTCTTGGCACTTCTTGTGAGAAAAGCAACCATTTTGCTCGCATGTTCCTGGGAAATGTATTGAATGAGTGTTGAATGAGTGACCTTACTTGAGTTCTAAGTGTGTATTTTGGTGGGAGAAATCAGCCATCCTGAGCTGAGGCCTTTGCGAAGGCCGCGGCGCAGATGGTCTGGCGCCGCAGCCTTGGACACACTTTAGCCATGCCTTGGTCATGAACGACTGGTGCAGGGGATGTCCCAAGGGATCTATAGTGGAAAAAACCCTTCTGTCATTCCATCTCAACCCTCGCGCCTCCCTTTTAAGTATTTTTTTGGGGCGTCGAGTTACCGCAAGGCACCTGCTATGCCCGGATCATGCGAGAGCAGATGGCCAGCCTCGCTGTACTCCAAGAGGCGCCGTACCTGGAGTTTCTGTGCTGGGTGGAATACAAGGCATGACTGAGGTTCATGTATGTATCATTATATAATTCTCTCACTCACTCACGCCAACTATATAATGACTTTTGCATTTATTGATTGTGATTCAATTTGGTTGAATCTCACATCGTATGCTTGGAACTGTTTTTGTCATTTGAAGTCTTTACACCGGCAGGTTCCAGCCAGCCCTAGATCTCCTATGAGTCCTATGAGCCCACGAAGCCCTTCTAGCCGGCAGTGCCTTGACTTGAGCTTGGGAGTCATGACAGTCATGACAGTAATGATTTGATATGATTTGCCTGAAGCGAATCGAGGGTGCGATGACTCTCGAGTAGAGGTTGTCCTTATTTAATTTTCTTGGTCTAGATGGCTCATGATGGCGCTCTTTTTGCCAAGGCCAGATGGCCCACGACTGCCCTTTCTGCAGAGTGGCGAGGCGATAGAATTTCTGGGGCGTGTGAAGTTCGTGGAGGACCAGCACCTTGGGTCAAACGGGAAGGACTCCGTCTCACGCCGTTCAGTCAGCATTGAGTAGTTTAGCCTGTGACTAGGCTGACTAGGACCTGCCCTTTTGTCAAAGACGAGCTTGCGGCTTCAACCAGTGTTATCAAGTTTTTTCAAGTTATCTCAGATCCAAAGTGTAGAGGCCAGGCATGGGGAAGCAGAGGATAGGCAGACGATCAGCTCAGGCTTGGTGCTCGCATGAGGATCCGGAGGCAGCGAGCTGCAGCCAGGTGTCTCCTAGTGGTGCTGCGATCTTGGCATCTTGGTGCTGCGACTGGGGACAGGCAGAAGCGTTCTTTGAAAACTAAGGGTCTTTGTGAACGCAAATCATTCTTGTATGTAAATGGTAGTGTAGCGTGCTTAAGCATAGAGTGTTGGTTGACCTGCTGCACAACGCGCGATGCACTGGTGGGACGTGGTCGCCGCGGTCGCCCACCATGTTTGATCGATTGTGAAAGCACATGATGAGGCTGTGATCCACCCACACACTGAACGTTGCTCAAGTAAGGCACCCCTTTGCAATTCAGCGAATGATGCGGCACATTGCAGCAGCTCGACCTCAAGGGCAGGGGTTAGTGGCAGGGTGCATCACTGTGTTGACTTTGCCAAGGACACTGTTTAAAGAAGGCATTCTTATTCCTGTCACATACATGGATATTCGCAGTCACTTTTAGCGGATGTGAACCACCTCACCTAGCAGGATTTCATCGCAAGCCGCAGTGAGGGAGAGAGAGGAGAGGATTTGATCCCAACGAAGAGAGTTCCTGGAGCGTTTTGATAAGGTTTTTGAGCACCCTCAACCAGTCTGGCGGTTTTTGGAGACACCTTAAATTATCCCTGAATGCTTTCCACTCTCAAACCTGGACGCAAGGCCTGCGTGAAGCGATTGCAGCAATTTCTTCACCGTGCCGTGTTGCGATTAAAAGCCACCCGCATCATGGTAAAGGCTGGGCGCCAGTTGCCACAAGAGGTGCACATGAAACTGTTGCCACAAGAGGTGTTCATGTTTTCGCACCTTCTTCCTAGAGGCACAAATGGTCCAGATTGAGCGGGAACTGGTGGAGAAGGACACGGAAACGAAGAATCCAATCCCACCGGCTGTCGTCCACCATGTTGGCCCAGCGGTTTGTCGGGCCAAGCATCGGAGGAGCTTTCAGAGGATGATGCGAAAGCGGACCCCTCCAAGCGTCGAGCAAAGGTCTCGGCACAAGAGCAGGTGGGACGAGTGAGGGACCACGAAAGGGGCCAAAAGAGACAGATAGTATGGACTGTAAGGAAGGCACCTGAAAATATGTCAATCGAATCATTTTGGACAAGCCTGCTTTGCAAGCTTGGAATTGTAACTGGGTGTTCAACACAGAAGATCAATAAATCCGCCGGAAGTGTCTAATACCTGGAGTCTCCAGTGGTACCTAAAAATGTGTACCACTTTTTTTATGCACGTTTTCTGCTTTTAGGTACGTTTTGGAAGAATAGGTACGTTTCAGAAGAATGTGCTCGTTTCAGAATAATACTAATGGTTGTATGGCTCGGGCTTCCTGACTCAGCTTTTGTTGGGAGAAGCCCATGTTGACCCGCAATGGCCGCTCAAGGAGGCCAAGGTGAACCGATGCTTGCTGCCTGACAACTGGCGGACTCAAGTGGTTCAGTGCAGACCTTGGAGCTCTTTGCAAGCTGTCCTGGCAAAGCTGCCTATGAACATGCTATTTTAACGCAATTGAGTGCCCTGTGGCCAGACGTATTTTTTGCACCACCGGAGCATGGGAGTGAGTTTGGAACCCCAATGGTCAGGCAAGAGACTGGACCGTAGATGTAGGATTTCGACGGATTTCGTGTTGTGTTTCACCTTGCCAACTGGTGGGCCAAGTTCGATGTTGAGAATGCGACGACTGCAACAGATGGAACGACTGCGTGAATGGAGAGTGGACATGAGCACATACTACTGGGAGGCAGGGCCACTGATTGGAACCTTGACGTCAAACTGTTACTGTAATTTCTTCCCTTGTGATTCGCATTTTGATATGGTAAGGCTGGCATGTGGGCTGTTGATCTTTCATGTGCGAACAACAGCAGGTGAAGTGACGTTCGATTGTGTGCTTGCCTCAGGTGTCTGAGTGGCGGAAGTCTGGGCATTCCTTGCCAATCCCAACGATGCCACCGTATCCAACTCACGTTCCTTCACAAAAGGACCCTTGTTTGCAAATAGTTTGGCCCTTGTGGCACTGTTGGTCTATGATTGTCATGCGGTGTGCTAAACAGTTGTGAGATACGGATAGATAGATAGATAGATATATATATCTCGTATGGTCGTGGTTTGATGCGTATGTTGGATGTGTCACACTGCGCATCCAGGTGCTTTACAAGTTGGTTGTGGATGCTCGAAAGCTTCGCATTTCGGCATGGAAAACCAAACATTTCAATAATTGCTACTTGCAGCTGTTTGAGAGTTACGCCTGGCGAGAATTTGAAGTACTTGGCATTGACTCCTGGTAAACCCAAGAGTGAGCGCAAGGCAAGCTGTCGCCATCACCCAGTGACTTCGTTGCTTTGGCGCAAATGGCCCGGCAACAGCCCGTTGACGCCACCGGATCTGAATGGCACCTTCTGGTGGGAGTTTCTTGGCTTTGGTTCACCAACGTGCAGACTAAAAAAGAACTCCTTTCTCAAGCAAGCGTGCTCCTAAGGATGTGGCTGGGAGCGAGACCTTTGGGCAAACTCAAGATACATTCTCTGCCAAGGTTGGTGAAGGGTCACGGGATTAGTATTCCTGGATCTTTATAAGTGCTCATGGCCTGGAATTTTAACACCAGTTTTGTATACGTAGTTCTGCAAGGCTTTGGCTTTCTTGGTTGTGTGCTGAGGTCATCGAGCCACTCTTGACTCCGAAAGGCACTCTCTTGAGATGAGGGGACGAGGGACGTCACTCGAAGCTTCAAGCTGCTACCGCGGTTTTCCAGAGCTTGTCTGGATTGGAGCAGTGAACAGGCATGTACAAAGATGTTGTTTTCCTCTGAATTAACTCGGCAGACAGTTTGCCCTGGCTGAGCCAGAGTGCCAGGCTGTTTGACCACGGAGGGGCACGAGCGGCAAGAGTTTGGGTGGTTTTCCACATGCATGTTTATATGCTCTTTAACAATTGAAGCTCGGGTCAGTGGCATCCAACATGTTTGTTTCTTCCTTTTTTAGAACAGCTTTTGATGGTTTAGCAGCTCCACCCGAAGTCAAGCCCCCGCATGTTGAGAAGACCCGTTGTCTCACCCGTGCGTGGAGTTTTAGAACGCGACCCGACAAAGGAGTTCAGCAGTGCTCGAATGGCAAGAGCACTGACAGTGGCAAGATCCTGGATATCATATGTTCGATCTGAGGCGCGCAAGCCCCATGCAGAGCTCAATCTAAGCACAGGATCCTGCCTGAGATGCAAACAACTTGGCGTTTGATCAGTATGCGCAGCTTGCTTTGCAAACTGGCTGAGGAGCTTCAGCTGACTGGACAGCGTAGGTGCCGCCACAGCATGAGCATTATCATACATAAAATCACGATCTTTTGGTTGGCAGAAGGCACATATATATATATATATATATGTTCATCGTAAGGAGGGCATGTTCTGATGCACAGGGTCATGCAGGAAGTGCCAAACAAACTGGACCGGTTAGCAATTCAAATAAGATGGATCAGCGAAACACAGAGCAAATTCTGGCCCTAAAACATGATAGATGCATTTGTGGTTAATTGTGGATACAGTGGTTCAACTAGCGTCGATTGCGTTTGCAGCTGTTGCGCCCGCATGGAACTTGACAGTTGGCCTTCCCAAGACGCCACAGGGACATGTTGGCGTCAGAGGGTGGGCTTTAAGTCGAGTTGGACAGGGCAATGCATCTTTTCCTTGCACACGCTTTCGACGTCGACCGCGACCCTGCAAACAAGAAGAATAGCAGATACTGAGTCGGACACAAAGGCATTTGAGGCTTCCGCTGACAATTTAGAAATTGGTGCTGGATTCTTGAAGATGGCACCTGTACCATCAAACTAGACGGCCCAATGAATGAAAGAAAAAGCGTTTACAAAACAAATTTATCAATGTATGCCTCTACATATTGCATAAACACGAGCTGAGGTAGCAGCTGCAATTTTATAAAGGACTTGGTTTCCAACAAAGCTCAATCCGTCATCGCACCAGCACGCGAAGTCCAATGTCAAAAAGAACATGAAAGGTGCTCAACAACAACGGCAGCCTTTTAGTGCCTCCCGCTCTCGGGCCAAATGGTCCACCTTCCGTGGGCCAAATGACACCCAGTATTTCTTGAAGGACATATCATATGGGGAAAGAGGCGATCACCAACAATCTCCTAAAAATCAACCTATTCATGCAGCGCCGCCGCCAATGCCAATGCTGTCGCCTGATGGCGGGCCATATTCTATTTGTGGCATCAAAAGCTTGATGGCTGAAGCAATATTGCCGCCCTTGAAATGGGTGATATTCTTAAGATCAACGCATCCCATTCCTCCTCTTACCGCTCTCCTGGCATCTGGATTGGATGAATTAGAATCCATATATGGGCTTGTCTTTTTTTAAGGTGTCCAATTTATGTAGGGCTGGGATGTTCGACTTAGGTGAAGCATACCCCCGAAGCATACCCTGAAGCACACCCTCTGGAAACGCTACTATTTTAGTCTTCCCACTGCGCGAAGCATATCCCGAAACATACCCCCGAAGCATACTTCCGAAGCATACCTCCCAAGCATACCCCATCATACCCCATAGTCAAACATCCCGGCCCGGGAACCTTAAAAAAATACAAACCCATATATATATATAGAATTGAATAGATATATAATATTTTAAATGATAATAATATTTTGGATTAATTATATAACAATATTAATTATTGTATTAATTTGATTATTAATAATTAATTTAATTTGAAACACGATATTTTATATTATAAATTTTACAAATAATAAATTAAGACAATCTTATAATATATTTAAATAGAATTGATTTTATATTAAAATATATAAAAGAATATATTTTGGAGGAAAATTATATAATTTATATTTTTTTATAATGAAGGATAAGGATTTTATTTTAATATATTAATGGTTTGGAGAAAAGATGAGGAATATGATATTGATTTAATATATTTAGGCTAAATTGTAATTGATGAAGATTACATTTTTATGCAAATTGGGGTTGGTTTAAATGGGGATTGATATAGATTAATTATGATTATTTAATATTATTTTTTTTAATTTAAACATATTAATTAATATTATTATGGAAAAAAAAAATATATATTATTATAATTATTGAAATATTATTTTACTATTTTTTTTTTAAAATATTGATGATTATATATATTGGTCGCATTTTTGAGATTTATGATTCGTAATGATTTTAGATTTTATTTGTTCGGATTTGATTTTGTTTTGTCTTTATTTTGATCGTATTTTGATATATATATATATATATTTCTATTAATATTGGATTTTTTAGAATTGATATTAATATCGAAAGAAAATATTGATGTTATTGAAATTTATATTAACATAATTAATGCACGCGGGAGCAAAAATTACGAGATAGATGTTTATCGCTTCCTTTTTTAGCCGGGGAACGCCAAATTTTTAAGTGATAAGCACATTTTTTTTGGAATTAATTATATTAAGATATTATATCTGAACGACTAAGGAAATGGATTCGAAATTTATTGATTTCTGTCTATAGATTTCGAATTCCATGGATATTATGTATATTATTTTTTAAATTTAATCATTATTTATTATTTCCCAATTTTGCGGCAAAGAGGTAAATTCAATTCTTCTCTTTAGCAATACCGCGAATATTGTCGACGTATAATAAGGTGAAATCGTGCGCTAGCGGACACAACAATACGACCCTGGCTATGAGGTTGCGTAATACAGCACGACCTCTGCAATGAGGTTATGCAATGCGGCTTCCATACTGTGCGCACGCACCCGGCAGCCTGACACAATGCGTGCTGCATTCGCAGACCATATTTCTCGTTATTAATGAATATCAATTTATCATTACCTATTTACAAAACCCTCTGAAGAAACCTCTCGCGTCGCGGAATACCATTCGCCTTAACCTTTTGCCCTAGCGTGGCGATATCGCACCGCATCGTGGAGCACCGCTACACAATTATTTACGCACCCTTCCCATTAACCATCCACCATAGCGTGACGTCCATCTCTAGCAATACAATCCGCACCCCTCCAGCACTATCCTTATGAGGGGGGGATGGTCACTGCGGTTTCGACGCAATGCGTGCAACTGGGGGACCATAATTAATATTTATGCGCTTATTACGTATTGCGATTTTTTACGCGCGCCTCTTTTGACACGCCTTTGCACAAACGAGCGTCGACGCAACGCGAGTCGCCCACTGCCCTACGGGCCTCCCCCTTCACAAGCACCACGCGTACGATCCACTTATTGAATCTTTGGACGGCCTTTCCTCTAATTTAGCCCAAATAGTTAGACCCATGATTTTGCCATGCCGGAATATGCGTGGAAAACAATGATATTTCTATCCTAGGATTTAGGATATTGCCCTTGCAATTATTCGTGGGAGCCTCATGACATGCAAAATGATGGTTTAGGAATAAATCATAACAGTGTTCTGGCGCCCAGGTTGTTTCTTTCGAAAAAAACATATAAATCCTTCCTCACCGTTCCACAACGGCCTTTACGCCAATTACCCGGTCCGTCTCTACCTTTCGTAATTTCCCGCTCAAGTAGATTTCCCTCCCCTTCGAATTTATTTTTGAATATATCCCCCCCTCCCTTCCCCCCTGATCGTTTTATCCCGACATGGATTACTTCGACACCATCGTTTTATCCCGAAATGGATTACTTCGACACATCGATGATAATTTGGCATTGAACACTCTAAGTATTTCAATATATATAGAGACATGATATGTTATTTTTAGTGCTTTTTGTCGTTGAGATTGTTATACTATATTGCATATTCTATATATTTCTTCTCCTCCCGTTATCCTACCTTTCGTATATCCCTCTTCTTAAATAGAAATAATGGAATGTTTTTTGCTGACGAAATTATATCGTTGTTTGGCATAAGTGGTTATTGGGGTAAATCGTAGTATGGTGAGTGGTGTAAATGGCGGTTGGTGTAAATAGTGGTTGGTGTAAGTTGTGGTTTTATATGAACAGTGGTGGGTGTTAGGTTTGGTGTAAATAGTGGGGCGGTGTAAAAACGGGGACTAGGGTAAATCGTTGTTTGGTGTGGGCGGTTGTTGGTGTAAATCGTGGTATATTATGTATATATTGGCGCGTGAAAATCGTGATTTTGTATTAACGATTGTATTGTACGATGGATGATAAATCGTGATTTATTTTGCATGACATATATTTATTATATTAACGATAATTTGAACTTATTAATTTATTGATAAGAATATAATATATAATACAAAAATTCATTACAATCCGAAAATATATCAATATTTCATAAATATATTTGTTAATTTTTTGAATATATTTTTAATATTCTATATTATCGATATTCCCGCAAAACAATGCATTTATCATAAATAGAAATTATCGTAATATTAACCATTCATAATAATATATTAGTATTATAGTTAAAACCACTATATTTAAATATTAATTAAATAGATCTTTTAGTTGTTCTAAGAAATATAGATGGCTACCGGTCAAAATTCGGATATGCATCATTTCGTGGGGATCCGAATATATGGAACGAAGGGCCCATACCTCTGCAGAAACCATTAAATTTATAATATATATATATATAATGAGTACATATATTATCTAATTATGTTCCGCCTCGCCCAAAATGAGAAAATGGAATGGGGGGTCGCTACTTTACCGTTGTTATTAACCGCAAATCATAACGAA